GTTTTTTTTCATGAACCTTGCCACCCCTAATACTTGTATACTTTTACCTGAGTAATTTCTTGAGCCACTGCTTAATATTATTGTGCTGACAGTGGCTCAGTTTGTAGGGTGTCTATTGATGAATACTGCCATTGTGTCCTTGGGCAAGACACTTAACCCTCCTCGCCCTAGTGTCTGCATACACTGGTGGGTGAATGGGTGAGTGGTTCCTTGATGGAAAGCGCTTTGAGTGCACTGAAGGTGAAAAGCGCGATATAACCATTACTTTGAAGTTACTCTTACCTGAATACAACTTTTGTCTTCTCTACTCCACCTGTTTTGAAATACTCCTGTCATTCCTTTGTTATCCGACTAAACCCTGAAGGCAATGCTGTCTGAATATTAAGACGGCAAACTCAACGTGACTGTAAATGTGTGCTCTTGTTGTGGGTTTTATCATCTCCAAAGCACTTGAGACAGTCCCATTAGCAGAACAACTAGACCGTGTTTATTAGCGAACAGAAGAGCAGATGTGGCTTCATTACATATGGCCTAGTTAGCCTGGTGTTCCACGCGATGGAGGGAGAAGGACCTGGAGTTACCTGAAGAGCTAAAAGGTAATGATAATAGAGCAGAGAAGAAGAAGGTGTACTTGTAATGTTTGTGATGGAGGGTCCATGACCATCACCTGCTTGTTTCTATGGATAAGTCTTCCTGGAATGTTCCACAGTATGACATTAGCTCTACCTTACATTTATCCAATTACAGGTGGTTTTAAAGTTCAAAAATACCTAGAAAAACAGACATTCTGACTGTGAGTGGGGTTGCCTCTCCACAAATCTAACCTGTAACTCGGTCGACTATGAAACATTCCAGGCAAAGCAATGACTCTCCACGGAGAAAAGCATTTGACGACCCTCCACCACAAAAGTTATACAATGTACCTTCAAGGTACAGATGGGTGAAAGAATTGTGTTAAAGGGCCTGTACTTCACTATTTTCTGATCTGTTACAATGTTGTTCCCTCACCAAAAACATTAGTTGTCTTTTGTTTCATTGTTTCACACATATTTAGGCTTCTTTAGTTCTTCTCTCAAACAAAAAACATTCTCTTCCACCTTGTGATGTCATGTGGTAATACATGCTCCACTGTGTTTTTAAACTCCACACACCTTCACTAGAATCATTTGGAGGATTTCAGATGTGGAATTGGCAATCTACAGCCTACGCAACAAAAGGTAAATGTAAAAATTCTACTTCATGACATCACAAGGTGGAACAGAGCATTTTGAGTTTTGGAGAAGTAGACAGACTAATAATAAACACTCATGATCACTAAACACCAACTCCAGGTGTGTTTTTGATGAGGTAACAGCATTATAACATGGCTTAAAGCTGATAAGAGTTCAGAATCAGAACAGAACAATTTATTTATTGAAGTTTATGTCAAAATCTAATTTTGTCTGATGGACCGAATCTTGTGTCTCATCTCATGGAAATTATGTCTCATCTCACTCCTTTCAGCGACTGAGACCTAATCATAAACTAATTATAGCTAAAGTGCTTTTTCTATCCGAGAATGAGGAAGTGTGTGGTTAGCATGCTATATATCATTATGTTTGCATTACTGTGATGGCAAATGCCGCACTGGCCTAAGGAAAGTTGTGAAAAGTGCTTGTGGCTGAGAACTGCGCATATCAATTTTGTTGGAGAAGAGGAAGCAGCCCACTATACATCAACAGAAAACCCGCACACTGTCTTACTTGCAAAACGTGAATTTATTAGGACATAAACATTTCAGCTGTGCTGTATTTTTCTCCGTTGAACAAATGATCCCTGGAACAAAGTTTTGAACCAAACTTTTTAGGTATTTAGGTAGAATTTAGGATAATATGCTGCTTTCTGATATGTGTTATAATATTGTTTCCTCATCACAAACAGACCTGGAGTTGTGTTTTGTTTCATTCATACATGTTCAACACACAAACCTGCACATTTATGCTGAGTTCCTCTCTCCAACTGAAAACACTCCACCTTGTGATGTCATATACAAGAAGTGCTCTTTTGTGTTTTTAAATTCTCTGCACCTTTGTTAGAATCATTTGGATAATTTCAGCCCTGGAATTGCCTATCTCTATTGAACAAAAGGTAAAAGGGAGCTGTTACTTTGAAAACTACCACTTCATGACATCACAAGGTGAAACAGAGCAGTTAGAACTTTGGAGATGTAGACAGACTAATAATGAAGGGTCACTCAAACAAGTGTGAATGAAACAAAACCAAGTCTGTTTTTGATGACTATTTTAATATGCCCAAACGCTCCAGAGTCAATTTTGGTAATATAGGACCTTTAAGTAATAAATTCAAAACATCTTCCATCCCTGTTTCTATATATACTTTAACTCTGCCCATCTTGCCAATAGCTTTATAAGGTCTCATGAGGTGAAATTCTGTCTAGTCTAGTCTGACATTTTATGTAACAGGCTGTTCTCTTCAAAACGATGTGCAAACTAAACTCCCCATGTCCTGTTTAACATAAGCAGAGCTACTGTATCTGCCTTCTGAAACATTCTTAAAGGTCCTATATTACACAAAACTGACTCTTGTGAGCTAATACCAATGTTACAATGTTGTTACCTCCTCAAAACAGAGTTGTGCTTTGTTTCATTCACACATGTTTGAGTATCTTTTTATTATTAGGCTGTACAGCTGCAAAGCCCAAAATAAACATTTTTCTTCTACACCCCTCATTTACATTAACATTTTTGTTTGTTTATTTTTTCCATCATGTTCATTGAATTGAAAAACAGAGAAAACATGCACGCTTTTACTTTGAGTGGACTTGCATCTTCACAAACCTGACTGAACCTCATTTGGCCTGTAGTATGTCTGCTTGTTTACATGGAAATCTTGTTCATACTGGTGTACTCGTTTGTACGGCATAACACCTATGTATCTCCATCAGTCTAACCATAACCCTGACCTTATGGTTTTAACTTTCAATGGAATCATGGAAATAGAAAATTCTAACCTGAGCTGTTCCTGATGCCTTTTTCATTACTGGTCTCACATTTGTCTTAGTAAAATCATCCTGAGAAGTAAACATTTTAAAAAGAAATAGCTGTAGAAAGAAGAAATCAGGCATCAAACTGTCCATCATTTCTTCTAATCGCTGCCGAAAATGAGACAGTTAGCTGGGTATTATTTATGTAACAAAGTCAGATTATTCTTAAATAGATTCAGAAACATTTTGAAAAGTTAAATGCTCACAAATGTACCTGTCTTTCATTTTCTGTTGAGCAAATGAGAAATGCTGGACTCTGCCATTTGGACAGATTTCAGGTAATGGAGAAGAGGAGGTCTGTGGAGGCTGCCCAGACAGCAGATTTCAAATGAATGAGAAATAAATATGTAATAATTATATGCACCGACCAAAGACAATTCACTGCTCAAAGTATGAGGCAAAACACCTGCTAGGATTTCACATTTTTACATTTTTTAAACAAAGCAACCAGGACAGGGTGACTTGGAAAAAATATCTGACTGCAATTTTTCTGATGAGCGTTTGTGGTTTATGTTGTTAATGATAAGACTGTCTTCAGAGTTCACATTTTAAATCCAGAAGAATTTTCAACAACTGACAAACTAATACAAGAATCACATGTATATCAGAACATGTCTGTACAAAAACTACTGGAGAAGTTTGTAGAGGAAATTTCTTTCAGAAATGGACGTCTTTGCAATTTGCTAATTGTGTTCATTCAAACAGTGAAGTCTAAAAGCTCAAAAACTCTCCTATCCCATTGTTGTCCACAAACAATGTTCTTCGACTCCCCTCAGTTACAGCTTCTTGTTCATGGTTAATTGTTTGATATCTTAAAATGTTATTTTATTTTAGCATTTACATCCATGGCTTTTTTGGAGAATTATAGAGTAACAAGAAGAGCACAGTGGTCAGTGCTGCTGAGTGCACTGAATGATATTAACAAATAACCTGTGAAATAGTGTTAAAACAGTCTTAAATAATAAACAGAATCTGTAACTGTCCCCTAGTTCACCAGACAGGAAAATGTAAACAAGGACTGTTGGCCTACATTCTTAAAGGTATGTAACTTTTCGGTAGGCTTTCCATCACCTGCTTGTTTTTATTGAAACATCATTGCTTTACACGGAATGTTCAGTATGACCCAGATCTACCTTACATTTGTTCAATTACAGGTGGTTTTATAGCTCAAAAGTACCTAGACTGTGAGCGGGGTCGCAGATCTGACCTGTAACTTGGCCTAGTTTGGTCTCCGTGATGATATATATATATATGAAAATAGTATAGTTTAATACTATACTGTGAAAACACCCCAGACAAAGCAATAACATCTTCATGTAGAAAAGCATTTGACGTACCCTCCACAAGAAAAGTTACACAATGCACCTTAAAATAAAATTTTAAATCTAGGGCAATATGCAATATGACTAAAAGAAGAATGTAAAACTGATATCAGTTACATATATATACACTTCTGTTTTCCAAACTGGGATGATGAAACACCAGATTTACAAAGTCTATTTTCTGAACATGACCCAGGGACCACACAAGGGTTAATAGAGTATAACTCAATCAATATATTATATAATATTATTTTTGCTTTTGCTGCTTTTTACCATTTTTTGTCCCATTTTGAATAACTTGTTCCTAAATGCTCATTACAGCATTTTACATATTTTGTCCTTCCAGTTTACTGGGGATAGTTAAAATACAGCTACATACTTAGACTTAGACTTTAGAACAAACTTTATTTATCCACAAGGGGAATTATTTGGACAATATTTGGATTCCAAACTACACAAGCACAGAGTGAATCCACAAGTATAAAAGCACAAATATCTCAATGACAGTGACAGGGCTGTTGTCACAGAGCTGCCCTTCCTAAACTTTAGACTCCTCCTGTATCTCCTCCATCTTCTCTGCCAATTATCCCACAGGATGGAGCGTGCACTAACTCTGGTTCTCTTCTGTTTTTCAGCTGCGAAGCCCGAAGAGAAGGAGGAAGTGTCCACTGTCTCCGGCAAAGTGGACACTGAGAAACCAGAGAAGAAAAGCAAAAAGAGCAAGAAGGACAAGGGTGCCAAAGAGGAGGAAGAGGAGGAGGAGGAGGAGGAAGAGGAGGAGGGTGCGAGGAGGAAGAAGAAGAAGAGGGACAGAGGAGAGAAAGCAGACGAAGATGATGACGAAGGCAGGCCGAAGAAGGGAGGAGGCAGAAAAGCCCAAAAGTGAACTCTTATCACAGATTTCAGAGCATTATTTTTGTATGGACTTTTATAAAATTAGATTTAAATATAAATAAATAAATATATATATATATATATATATATATATATATATATATATATATATATACATACATATATACTGCTTCGAATGAATATAATGCATTAGAGAACACATTAAAAGGATGAAGCAACATACAGTAAGTTTATACAATCTACCTAATGTGCAATATTTCCTTTGTGGGAGACAGTGGCCATGTTTACAAGCAGAGCACAAATCTGATCATCATCTGATTCCTGGAGTTATCAGATTATTGAAATGTCATGTCATCTATTTGGTCTGATGTGAGTAATCTGATTTCTTTTTCACTGTTGACACCTGCACAGATTTGCCAAAAATAAATTTGGCAAAGGCAAAAATGTTAAAGATCGAAATAGTTATTTGCAAGCTTATTTACCACTTTTTACTACTACTTTTTTAATTTACTAATTCAACTAACTGACACATACCACCAGATGCTTTTGATGATCAGATTTCTTTTTTAGTCAGATCTAATTATTGTGTTATCTACTTTTTATCATTTTTACTGTTACAGCCTCGTTTACTGTTACAGTAAGTATTTCTGCTGTTGCGTTCCAAATAGTTCTATTCTAAGATGCAGTAAAAAGGATCTAAGGGCCACGGTCTGTCTACCAGTCAAAGGTTTGGACACACTTCACTTCTTTATTTATTTGCATTGTAGATTCTCAATATGAATGGACACATATGGGATGTAGTAAACAAAAAATAGACGCACTCAAAAAGAACTCAGAACTTGCTTTAGATAAAGAATAAAAAGAGTTATCATTGGCTTTCATCACTTTCTTGACCCTAACCGTGAATTTAGACCAGGAGCTTCAGCAGCACATAACGTCTGCAGAGCTGCACTCACCTTTAATTTAATTTACACCAGAGGAAGCAGAGCTGCTCCTGAGACACCAGACTCTGTGTATTGTCACGTTTAAACACTAAACTCTATGTATTCTCACGTTTAAACACTAAACCTTTTAGATTGTTTATGGATTCATTGTTGGATTGTATTGTATTGTGATTGTAATTCATCCAAAGGTTGACAACAAGAGAGTGGAGGTTTTGCATCGATAATGAGCCGTATCTGTGATGCTCACATTAATTAAGCTACTCACCATTTCACTTTGGTTGTTTGCTCCATGTGTCTTTTCCTTCAGAAGCTGTTCTTGTAAAGTTTCTGTCTGATGTCATAAAGTGTTTTATATTTATTCTACGTGCCTGTAAACTTTCCGTAGTCCATCATGAGTCATTCCCCGAGCTCCTGACACATGGTGTTTATGCCACTGTACTGGTTTTAGAGAACATATTTTGAAAGAGCATCGGAATTTTATTTTGACAGAGCATGCCCATTTCCTGTCTTTCCCCTGCTTATAGCCTGGAATCAATTCGTTGACACTGCAAAATTAGAACTCCAACCTAATCTGAGCGGCGTGTAGCGTCATGACGGGCGCTGGACGCGCGTATGACACTGCTGGTGTAGATTGTCCAACATGTTAAAGTGGAAAGTCAAACCTGCCCGTGTGCTGCCCGTGTGCTGCCCGTGTGCTGCCCGTGTTCTGCCAGTGTTCTGCCAGTGTTCTGCCAGTGTTCTGCCAGTGTTCTGCCAGTGTTCTGCCAGTGTGCTGCGCATGTGCTGCTGCTGTTATGCTTTGGTGTAATATGGAGTTACAAGGCCCACCTGTGAAGTGAAAACCATTTCAGGAGACTTCATCATGAAACTCATTGAGAGAAGGCCAATTTGAATATAAATAATAATAATTTTTTGTTGAGTTATTACACTTTTTTATATTATTATGATTTTTTTAAATCTCACATCATATATTTGACTTTTTCCATAGAAATAGAGTAAAGAAGCATTGAATGAGAAGGTTTGTGCAAACTTTTGACTGGTAGTGTCTGTAGTATGTATGTGGATCTGTTTTTTTTTTAGTGTGCAATATGTATATATATATAAACAAAATGTCTTTTATCAAGAGGCATATTACAACACTCCACTGAACCATGGTTACAACATTTCATAGTAACAAGAGATTTGTACACAAGCTCATGTTGTCCCTGTTATTTGTTGAATTGCCAAAGTGTGTAGCTTTCTCTTAGTTTACCTTTTTAATAGTTGAGCAATAGAAGCAATATCTGGACGTGTTTCTAGGGCGACACAGTTTAGAATATTATGCTTAACTGCATCAATCATGATTGATGCAGTTAAGCATAATATTCATTTGACTTCAACACAGAACATTTTTACAAAATATCTTCATTTACTATGATTTATTCACTATACCTCTGTCTCAAATTATTGACCTAGATTTTTTTTTTTTTTTTTTTGGTGAAAAACTAGGTTTAACCCCAATACAGGCCTGAGAAAGTCCAGGTTTAGATGTGGTGGTACGCAGAAAGCCAAATGTTTTCTAAGGTGTAACTTGATGTAATCAGTTTGAGATGCACTGCACTGTACAATAAAATGTAAAAATGCTTGCATCCTTTTTCTATATGTGTGTGTCACTTACAACAAACCCAGTGAGCAAAATTATTAAATCTTTTGTCTGCTATAGATTATAATCTATGACACTTGTAGGTCATATTTAGGACTTTTGCAGGAGCTACTGGCACTGGTGAAAACAACCTGCATAGACTCATAATATCTGCACCACTGTCCTATACACAAACACACACAAACACACACAAACACACACCTTCATCATCGTCATCAACCTGAGAACCCGCGGACCACGTCTCCTTCCGTAGTTACTGCGCGGACACCGCCGTCTCGTGCGCCGCGTGTGGACCGTGTTTTCTCGCGTAAACCGAGCTTCCTCCTGTGCACCTCTAAACCAGAACTAACACCAGGACTAAACCAGAACTAACACCAGGACTAACCCAGGACTAAACCAGGACTAAACTAGGACTAAAGCAGGACTGAACCAGGTTTAAACTAGGACTAAACCACAACTAAACCAGAACTAAAGACCTGGTCTAGACCAGGTCTAAACCAGGTCTAAAATCAGGAGTAAACCAGGTCTAAAAATCAGGACTAAACCAGGACTAAACCAGGTCTAAACAACATGACACCTAACAGTAGGTTGACATAATTAAAGGTGATGTCATATAAAAAATAATTTCTCTATCAATAATATTTTTTAATATGGTGAAGGAAAGACTGATCTTGTTTCTGTCTTTTAACAGAAAAAACCTCTTATGTTAAGATATCGTGGTCTTTGTTTCTCTACAGCAAACAGTTTCTTATTCATGGAGACTTGGGCTCAGACAATTTTAAAACAAACAAGAATTTTCAGGATGTGGTTGCTACATTCATGTCCTTTAAAAAAACATGACAATATCAAGTAATCCAAAGTATTCAGATTACGTTACTCACTTTAAGTAATTTAATGGATTACGTTACAAACTACATTGTGGGGTGTGTAATCTGTAATCTGTAGGGGATTACATTTTAAAAGTAACCTTCCCAATCTGTGACACCTGCTTCTGTGTGTCACAGATTAAGAAAATAAGAAGAATAAAAATATTGAAGAATATTGAAGAATGAAGTAAGTACAGAACAGTGAGTGTGTGCCAGTGGCACACACTCACTGAAAACGGGGAGTGATCAAAACAATGACATGTTAGAATACAGGAGAATAAAGATGACTCAGATATACATGAATCACTGTAAAAAAATAAGTGGTGGTACGAGACACAGTTCAATCAATCAATCAATCAAACTTTATTTGTATAGCACTTTTCATACATTTGAAATGTAGCACAAAGTGCTTCACATGCAACAGAAAAATTACAATAATTAAAAACAACAGCAACCCCCCACCCCATTGTTTCATCCATATATACAACAATTTAAACATAAACATAAAAACAAAAACATAAAGCTCCTAAAGGTTATAATAAAAATAAAAATGGTGAGCTAAAATCAAATGGAAAAGTAATGATAATTAAATTTAGAATAAATATAATAATAGTATAATAATAATAATAATAATAATAATAATAATAATAATAATAATAATAATAATAATAATTTAAGTTAAAACAGATAAAAGTTTCAATGAAAAGCTAAATTAAAAAGATACGTTTTGAGTTTACTTTTAAAAATATGAACACACGCAGTGGACCTCAGATCCTCAGGTCGACTGTTCCACAAACGGGGGCCGTTAAAGCTGAATGACGCCTCACCGTGAGTTTTAGTTTGGACTCTTGGGACAGTTAAAAGACGACTACCTGAGGACCTGAGAGTCCGAGAGGCTCATATGATAAAAGCAGATCAGATAAATAAATAGGACTAAGACCATTAGGAGCTTTATAAACTAATAAAAGAACTTTAAAATCTATCCTGAAGCTCACAGGAGCCATTGCAGAGACTTCAGTACTGGGGTGATGTGCTCTTGCAGAGTTTTGGAGGAGCTGTAGTGGAGCTGTAGTTTTCTTTGGAAGACCAGAAAGGAGAGCATTGCAGTAGTCAACATGGTTTGTAATAAAAGCATGTATTAAAGTCTCTGCACTGGCTTGAGAGAGAAATGATCTGACTCTGGCAATATTTTTTAAATGATAAAAACCAGATTTAGTGATGGACCTGATGTGTGGCTGAAAGCTAAGTTCACTATCAAGAGTAACAGTTTTCACAGGATGAGACACACACGAGATTGGGTCCATGGGAACGACGAGATTTGTATTTAATTTGTAATAAATAGGTAGTGCAATTAATTTCACAATTTTGGTTTCACAGTTTTTCCAAGAAGCAGTACTATGACCTGTAAAATTACCTAAAATGAATATTTTAGGTAATTTTACAGGTCATAGTACTGCTTCTTGGAATTACAGCTTCTCAAATTCGCTTTTTTTTGTCCAAGTGAAAGTTAAATTCAGCGGGAAAATTCACACAAGACACAATCCTGTCTCTCAAGATCTTGTGGTACGAGATCTTGTCC